CACAAAAAAAGTTGTTTTTCTATAAAAGGAAATGGAAAACTTTAATAGTCAAAGTCAAGCATGGTGTTACACATCTGTAAACTCAGCACTCAAAAGGCTAAGGCAGTTGGGGAGCACAGTTCAAAATCCACCAAGGCTACAGTGAAACTGTCTCAAAACAGAATAAAAGAAAAACCCAGGCTTATTGAACTCAAAACTGAAAGTGATCATGACTAAAACCAATCAGTAAAGGGAAAATCAGGAATCCGTATTTCCAGATTGTCTATAATAACTGTATATAACTGTATATCCACCTGAAGGCATTAGGATTACATGTTACAGCAAAATGTAACAATCCTCATGTGTTTCATGGCAACATTTATATAAAAGGACAGCACATTCATTTATGCTACATAATGCTTGATAATGGCAATAACTGCTACTGGCCTGTGTGTTTATTATACACTACTTTAAAATTTATTTATTTTTATTTTATTTCTATGTGTTTCACCCCATGTATGTGCACCACGTGTGTGCAGTGCCCATGGATCCACAACAGAATGTCAGATTCCCAGAACTGGAGTCGTAGACAGTTGTGAATCACCATGTGTATGCTGGGACTCAAACCCAGATCCTCTGAAAAAACATCAAGAACTCTTAACCACTAAGCCATCTCTCCAATTCCATACAACACTTTTAAATCACTGTATCAAAGTAGAATACTTCCATTTAGAAACAAAAGAAAATTATGAAAAACTGTTATGCTATGCCAACAGCCTCATACACCCTGCACTTCCTACTCTTAAGTGATCATCCAAATGGTGGATGGATTTCTATACCATCCAGGTTTGTGTAGGTGCTCTCCAGCATGTACACACCACAACAAAATCTCTGAATGACAGATTTCTTTGCATGCATCCTCATAATTAAGCAATGGATGACTATACTTAAGACACATGCTGCCATTTGATTAAGCATGAACCTAAAAGATTTTTATAAGCTATTACCTGTGAGATATGATTGATGGAAGATTCCATTCTCCGAAGCTGAGAGGCCTGGATGTCCAGCAGCTGGAGAACATTGTTGGCCAATGCATTTATTTGATAAGCAACACTAGCTAGAGATTGGGTTGTGTACGCTTTGGTCTCTTCCAGAGCTTTTCTCTTGTCTGTAGCCTGAAATAAGAAAAAAACTACTTATTTAGCACTTATTAAACAAACATTCCATAGAAAGACAAAGTTCCTTTTTTTATCATTTAAAAAAGCCCAATTTAAGTCAGCAAGATAGCCCAGCAGGAACAAATGATTGCTGCAAAAGCCTGGTTACCTGAGTTGGATGCCCAGAACCAACGTAAAGTGTAAAGAAAGAACCATCTCCACAAAGTTCTCCTCTGACCCCCATGTACACACTGTGGCACTGTACCCACACACTACAAGCTAAATAAATTGGGGGGGGTCCCAATATTTTTAAACCCTTTGGGACCAATCTAATCTGAGTCTTAGGATACTGGATTAAGGATTAAATTTACAGATAATTTATTGTTTTTAATACTGACATTGTAATTCTGCTGTATTTCTAAATTCATTTGTTAACTTTAGTAATTTTTTTTGTTGATTACTTAAGATAGCATGATTGTTTAAATTATCTGTGAACCAAAACAATTTTACTTTTTCTTTTCAAATCTGTATGTCCTGTTTCTTTTCCTTTTGTAGTAGCTAGGAACCCAAGTACAATGTTGAAGAGTAGCAGCTGCTCCCACTATTAGAAGGAAGTCTTTTAGCATTAAAATGCAGAATCTGAGCAGGGCGTGGTGCTGCAGGCCTTTATTCCCAGCATTTGAGAGTCAGAGGCAGGAGATCTCTGTGAGATAGAGACAAGCCTGGTCTACATAGTGAGTTCTAGGTCAGCTGGGGCTACTGGGAGATCCTGTCTCAAAAAGACACCCCCCCCCAAAAAAAATAACAAAAAGCAAAAAAATCCCACAGAATGTAGATTAGGAATGTTGCTCAGTGGAGTGCTTGCTAGGAAATCTGCAAATGTACATTATAAAATGTACATTTTTCATAGGCCTTCCTATTCTTAGTTTATTTACAAAGCTAGGTGGACTTAATCATGAATAAGATAGTTATTTTCATTCATCCAATATATTTTAGAATTTCATCCACCTATTTCTTAGTTTTCAATATTCAGGATGCATACATTTTTCCCCCACAAGAGATGGAGAAAATGCTTAGCTTTGGGCTAACATTTTCCCTTTCCTCCAAAGCATAAATTTCCATTTTATTTTCCAGCTTTCTTTATATCAAGAATCAAGTAATTAAGCATAGTCAATGAAATGTTAGTACAAAAGACTTGACTTCTAAGCCTAGACATAAAAACCTATTTATGTTCTGATCCAATAGAGTAAAAATGCACTCTTACCCAAAAATAGTCGTGCTTAATCAAAACCAGCATTTTACAGTGCTTCCATTTTAAAACTTTAAAGTAATTAAATTTAAATATTCATTGGGGCAAGAGAGGCTAGGACTGGTAGCTTGGTTATCAGAATGCTTCCCTGGCATACACAAAACCCTGGCTTCAATCCCTAGCACCACAGAGATTAAAATTAAAATTTACCAGCTAGGAGTGGTGGTGCACACCTGTAATCCTAACACTAAGGAGGATCCGAAGCTCAAGATAATGCACCGTTACATAGAGTCTGAAGCCAACCCAGGCTACAGAAGACCCTATTCCCCCAGTCCTCCCCCCAACATTTTTTTCCTCTTGCCATATTTCAAGTGCTCAACAGCCACATGTGGATTATAGTAACCTTATTGAAGAATGCCATTTTAGTCACAGTTAATTTCCATTCATAAAGACTATAAATTTGAATGGCAAATTTACACAAAAGTTATTGCTACCACTTAATTTAAGTTTGTTGTGGTTTAAGGGCTGGAGAGATAGCTCAGCAGTTAAGAGCACTGACTGCTCTTGCAGATGACCTGGGTTTGATTCTCAGAACCCACATGGTGGCTACAAACTGTCCTTAACTCCAGTTCCAGGGGAATCCAAAGCCCTCTTCTGACCGCAGCATTGCACAACACGGGTGTACTCACATACATGCAGGCAATACACCCATACACATAAAATAAAAATAATATTTTTTTTAAGTTTGTAGTTTAGTAGGTAAGAATCAACCAACAACCTTAGTATGTTCCAAGGAGCACACAAATTTCACAGACTACTAGACAACTAATCAAGTACCCAAGGGATTAGACTGGCATCATTTGTAGCAGACTTCCCTGCTGGGCAGGAAGCTTTAGCCTCAGTTGGGGAACTGCCTCCATTGGACTGGCCTGTGGCCATGTCTATGGGGTATTTTCTTGATTGTTGAGTGATATGGGAGGGTCCAGCCACCCCTGGGCAGGTGGTACTGTACTGTATAAGAAAGCAGGTTGAACAGACCAGGAGAGCAAGCCAGTAAGCAGAGTTCCTCCATGTTCTGTGCTTCAGCTCCTGCCACCAGGTTCCAGCTCCGAGTTCTTACCTTAGGCTCCCTCAGTCATAAACTGTTACTAGGGAGAGAGATGTAAGATAAAATAAACCCTTTCCTCCCCAAGTTGGTATTGGTCAAGAGTGTTTTGTCACAGCAATTGAAAAGAAAGCAGAATATCTGTTAACTGCTCTAGGAGTTGATGTGATATGAAACCCATTTCACCCATTCTTACATCAGAGAAAAAAGACACTTAAAATGGAATCAAACATCTACAGCTTTAATAGAAAAGTTACTTGTTTTAAATAGTCACTCTTTAAATAAGAAATGCAATGATGTACTTAAACAGGAAATTCCTTAGACAACTGAACTTTATGAACATCTCTAACATGAAACTTACACCTCCTTATCTACCTGCAGAAATCAAACTTTTACTAAGTTGGGTAGATTAGGATCTGCTGGCAGGAGTAGAGAACTTTTTAAAGTAATATCTACTTCTCTGAAGTCCTTTTCTGTCCCTCATGGCTTCTTCAAAGGAAAAGTCATCTCTTTACTGTCAGAAATAAAAATTGCTGGCTATAAGCAATCTCAATCTCTCTCCCTCCCCCTTTCCTTTACCTTCCTCCCTCTATAACCAATCTCTCTCTCATGTATACATTTATTTTACCTTCCTTTCCTCTTCCTTACTCTCTCAACCTCCACCTACTGCTACAGGTACATGGTCTCTCTTTTTATTATATGGCAACACCTAAGCCCCCAAAAGAGAAAGAAAACATCCTTGCTTTGACTATGTGTAAAAAGTAACACAAGCCAGGGGTGACAATACACAAATAAAATTCAAGCATTTGGGAGGTGACAGCAGGAAGATTATCAAGTTCAAGGCCAGCCCAGACAACACAGTGAGACCCTGTCTCACAAATGGGAAAAAAAAGACACGTGTATGTGATAAATATGTGAGCACAGGTGCACATGTGTGGTATCAAAGGAGTAAAGACTAGGAAAATTTCAAAACTGATGAAATACAGCACATAAGATGCCTTCTCATTTTGAGAGTCTTTTCTTAAAAAAGCATATAAAGCCAGGTATAGAGGCGCACATCTTTAATCTCAGCACTCAGGAGGCAGAGGCAGGCAAATCTGAGTTCAAGACTAACCTGGTCCACAAAGCAAGTTCCAGGCCAGCGAGTACTACATAGTGAGACCCTGTCTCAAAGACTGTTAAAACTAGTTGGAAGGACTTAAAAACTCAAATGAGGGGGCTAGAGAAATATATCAGTGTTTAAGAGCACTTTCTGCTCTTCCAGTTCAGTTCCCTGCACCCATCCTGGGCACTCACAACCACCTGTAACTCCAACTATCCCCAGAAGGGATCAATTTCCCTCTTCCACATCTCCAAGGTCACAAACATACATGTGGCAAACATTCACCTCGCTCTCTCTCTCTCTCTCTCTCACTAAATAAATAAAATTTTTTTTTAATTTCATGTATCAGTGAGTACCTGTAAGAGGCAGTTTTGTATTTGTACGTATACACATGTATGTGTGCACATGTTATATGTGTGAAATAGGCATTAATCTTCCCCTTCTACCTGGGACAGAATCCCTTTGTTGTTTGTGTCCCACTTACACCAGGCTAGCTCTTCCCTGACACCCCTAATGAACTTCGGGAGGTTCTCCTGTCTCCACCTGCACTGGGATTACAGACACACTCTGCATTCAGAGTTCTACATGGATTCTGGGGATTCACACGCAGGTCCTTCACTCTAGCCCAGCAAGTACTTTTACCCACTAAGGCATCTCCCTAGACCAAGAGGAAGAGTTTTAAATCAACTACAGAAAAAGAAGCATCTACTTTGTTAAAGACCAAAAGCTTGGTTGTTTGAGACCTGTAAAACACTCCAAGAAAAATTCAAAATTGCTTTGTAAAGAAGGTGAAAGGATTGGCAGAAAGGAGTGCACAGGCCAAATACTGGTAAACTACTGACCAAAAAACTTACTGAACCCTTGGGAGTCATGAGGATTAATGCCTAACTACCATGGAAAGGATCTAATTTTCAACAACACAATTCCTATTCCAATAAAAGTGAAAACTAAAAAATGTTTTAGTCTTCCCAGGTTACAGCAAGTATCTAGCAAAAATGAGTGTTTTTGCTAATAAACAAATCAAGTTGAGACCTCTCCTAATAAGCCTTAACACAAACCCTCCCTACTACTTCCCACTTAAGTACCACTAAGAGGTCTAGTTCTTTCATTCAAAGCAACATTGAGAGGAAGTCTGCCTGTTGAGTCAGTTTTGATGGACAGGAATGGGATGCTATCTGACAGGACTTCTGGTTTGTGAAAGCTAGTGCTCTGCTTGTGCATTCCAAAGAATTTACCTAATAATCACAAAGACATAGCTCACACACAGAGGGCAATAAATGCCTATTAAAGACCCTAAAGATTGGCCTAAGATAACTAGGCTCTGAACCTCAGCAATCCAAACTCCACCATCATGGAAGTTCTAAGCAGTCAGTCCTCTGCAGAAGGCTAGTATGAGTTGCACTTCTTTCCAGGAGCTTTGTTCAGTCAGTTAAAAAAAAAAAAAAGGACACAATTTGGAGGTAGGGATGGAGACAAGACAGAGTTCAACAAACACAAAGTGTAAATGAAAAGAACTCTAGAGGTTAATGAGCCTGAGTAGCAGCAGGGTTAACAGAGAATGT